GACCAGCATCAGGTCTTAGAGCTGAAATGATGAAGAGAAGGAGATTAAATCAAAGGTGAGAGACGTGGCCTCAGAATAAAACAATGTTCAGGTTGTTTGCTAGTTTTTTTTAAATGCCACTAAATCTGAACTTTTTAAATAATGATTCATAAATGTTCTGATTCTGTTTAATTATATTTGATTAATTAATTCTGTGTTAATGATCTTTTCAGATTCAGATTTCAGGCTCTGCTGATGACGACCTTATCCCCGATCTATTGCCATGACGACCACACACTCAGCAATGATCAATATCATTTATCCCCAAGCTAAAAATAATCTGCTCAGAAACAACTACAAGAAACTAAAATGGGGACGGTTACATTTTATTTATTGAATCATTTTCATTTTAATGAATTTGAATCTTAGATTTAACATGAAGGAGCTGACTGAGGTGGATATGAGGTGACATAAAAACAGTAGATAAGAACAGGCAGGAAATCTGACAGGTAAGAAAAGGAATAACTGTCGTAGCAGCTAACATGAGCAGCTGTGGGCCACTGTCTCATCTACACACTCCCTCTGTGTCACATGTTTGACTGAAGTCACGGTGAATAATAAACGAACCCTAAACTTCTTATGTTAAATGGGTAAATTACTGTAAAATGAGTGCTTATGGCCACACCCATGGTAGTTACTGTTGCTACGGCAATCAGAGTATCACATTATATTCTTTATTCAGATCCCCATTAGCTTCTGCTTGCAGTGGTTGCTAATATTCCTGGGGTCCACATAAAATCATTCATACACAAACAGCATATAAACAAACAAACATACAAACAAACAAGAATTCACTGACACCCTGTCAGTCCAAACAAAATTACATAATTAAAAATCAAAATATTAAACATGAGATCACGTAAGCAATACATGTACAGAATTTAAACAAATATCTAGTGCTGAGGATTAAAACAAATATCTTGGCACGTGGCATCATTCCTCCAGTGTGGTCTCTTTCATCAGTTTCACTGAGCTGTCTCTGGATATTTGATGTTTGCAGACGGGTTTAATATTAGGATCCAGTTCATAGCAGCTGGTGTGTAGTTCAGGGGCCCTGGGAAAATGAAGACACGTTACAGCTATAAAATATCTGTATCTATATCTGATAAGGCAAAGTCTTTTATTGTGTCTGTGATGTCAGTGTCAATGATTCCCCCTCCCTCACCACAACACACACATACTTGTCTTACATTAGTTGTGAGGACACTCGATATAATGCGTCCCCTAACCCCCAACCCAAACCTAAACCTGATTCTGACCTGAACCCTAAAACCGGGTCTCAACCCTCTAACAGCTCTTTGAAGTTGAGGACCAGACAGCATGTCCTCACAACCATAGAGAGACGTACGCATACACACACACACACACACTCTGATGGGAATTAATGTTTACTTGAGTCTTAATCCAAACTAAGCTGGATTTCAGAGGCAGCAGGATTGTTTTTACTCAGCGCTAGTTCACACACACACACACACACACAGTGGAAGTCAAAATTATGTAAAGTAAATTTTAAATGAATCTACTAGGCCTATAGATAAAACTATAATCTCCTGACATTTAACCTTGTACCATGACATGATAGCATCATATCATTGTCTGACAGGAAGAAGTGCTGATGACAGTTTATTATAACAACAACAACAACGACATTTCAACCACAGATGAAACACATCACTGTTTATTTTGTGTAGATAAGCTCTAGACTACATCTCCAGTCTTACAGTGTAACACACAACATACACTGTGTATATAACTCATCTGTACTACTACTGTAACACACAGTGTCCCTGTTGGGCCAAATTGAAGAACACGGAAAATCACAGAAACAACGAAAACTCTTCTATAGATCAATGTTTTTCTGAAACTTAGTCTGTAACTTCTGCCTTAAGGAGTCTCTCAGTCAAAAGGTTGGTGATGTCATGAAGTAGCGTGGGATCATCGGAGTTGTTGTCATCACAACCATTTCCATCAGCTTTTCCTGATTTGATTTCCTCAGTGTCAGTGGTTCAGGAGGTTTTTACCTGGAGCTGAATTATCCTCAGAGGTCTCCTATTCTCCACAACAAACACACCAGGTGATTATAACCAGTAAAAACACTGAATAAAACAGTTTGACATTAAAAATCAGTGACTCACAGACACAGTTCAGTGGACACAGGACGTCTCCAGCGGCTGGGAGCTGAGCTGTCAAACATTAACTCAGCTTGTTTCTCTGATAACTTCAGATCCAGACGAAAAACTAGATAAAAGTCAATGTTGAGCTTCTGGATATGATGCCATTGAAGTGTGGGGGAATATGTGTGTGTGTGTGTTGTGTATCATCATCTGGGGCTAAAGCCACACACACACACACACACACACACACACAGAGGCTCAGAGAACAGGCTGACACACATTTACAGATAAAACAGGTTGGCAGAAAAAACAACTTTGCATTGTGGGGGAATCTGGGCTGAGAAACCAGACTGGAGGATGATCAGTTACTGAGACTGAGTTCATACTAACAGCTTCAACACACCTGTGCCTGACTGTACTCTGACAAAGGTCGGTCACTAACAGACTGATCAGTTAGAAGAACGCCTAGCTTAGCTTAGTTTAGCATAAAGACTGGATTCAGGTTGAAATAGTTAGCCTGTGCACGAGTAACAGATCCACTGAGCAGAGAAAGGTAAAAACATCTGCACACAAAGTGCCCTTACTGTAGTTTTCAATCAGCAGTTTGTTTCTCCTTGTCTTCTCTCCTTATCTCCTCTCCTCTCCTTGTCTCCTCTCCTTTCCTTGTTCTCTCTCCTCTCCTTGTCTCTTCTCCTCATCTCCTTTCCTCTCCTCTTGTTTCTCTCCTCTCCTCTCCTCTCCTCTTCTCTTCTCTTCTCTTCTCTTCTCTTCTCTTCTCTTCTCTTCTCTTCTCTTCTCTTCTCTTCTCTTCTCTTCTCTTCTCTTCTCTTCTCTTCTCTTCTCTTCTCTTCTCTTCTCTTCTCTTCTCTTCTCTTCTCTTCTCTTCTCTTCTCTTCTCTTCTCTTCTCTTCTCTTCTCTTCTCTTCTCTTCTCTTCTCTTCTCTTCTCTTCTCTTCTCTTCTCTTCTCTTCTCTTCTCTTCTCTTCTCTTCTCTTCTCTTCTCTTCTCTTCTCTTCTCTTCTCTCCTCTTCTCTTCTCTTCTCTTCTCTCCTCTTCTCTCCTCTCCTCTCCTCTTCTCTCCTCTTCTCTCCTCTCCTCTCCTCTGGAAGAAGAATGCCACAAATTTTAACCTGATTTGAAGAAAATTGTCAAAAGAAAATGAAAATGAACATCATTAGCAGATCCAGTCAAAGCTCAAACCATGAGGAGAACATGATCTGACATCTCTGTTTCATGTGCTAATGTGAGGAAGGTTCAGCCTCCTCATCATCGCTCCACATTCACTGCACAATGTTGATAGATTTACTTTTACACTTCAGTCAACAGTAAAAACTGTATATTTGATTGTTTGCCCACAGAGTTCTCACAAAAACAGCTGGATGGAAACTCATCTTGTGTCCAGATGTTGAGATCCAGATGAGGAAGAGGAGGTGATGAAGATGTCCTCAGGTTATCAGCTGGTGTTCAGGTTTAGTGAGTCAGGACACTGATCGACATGTATTGATGATGAAGAGGTCTCTGTCAGCAAAACTGCTCTGAACCTGTTCATCATCCACATTCTTTGTTCATCTTTCTCAGCATCATTATAACTGTAGTATCTTATTTATCATCATCATCATCATCCCTCTGTGTGGTCATCCTCGTCTTCATCACTTTAACAGTAACTCTGACTCAGACTGATTTACTGGATCACTGTGACATCACTGATGAAGATGATGATGATCTCTCTTCTGTTGTTGACAGAGAGTGGTCCTATCTGACACATGATACACACACACACACTGATTTGATGTTTGTCCCAGCAGTAACTTGTCCTGAGATTATACTTTTATCTATAGGCCTAGTAGAAATTTACTTTACATAATTTTGTGTGTGTGTGTGTGTGTGTGTGTGTGTGTGTGTGTGTGTGTGTGTGTGTGTGTGTGTGTGTGTCAGTCTGGATGAGATATCATTCAAGTAACTCATGACTCAGAGAGTTTCAGAGTTTTTTCAACATCAACAACAAAAACAAGTTTATACAGTTATAATAATGGTATTAAAGTAATTCTACTTACTAACAGCCCAGGACTCGTCCTCATAAGAATATGAGTTGATGTTTTGACAGTTTTTACAGTTTTTACAGTTGTTTTTAGCACACCTGTGGAGAGTAAATATATTTAGTATTATAAGTATTATACTAAAAGAATAAGTATTATACTGAAGGAACTTAACAACAGCACAGTTCAATATTTTCCACATTTATCTGATAACTTTACTTTTCAGATTCATATAAAAAATAAAACATAATCAATAATTCTCTTTTTTTATATAGATGAATGTAGATTAATGCAGTGAAGTAGCCTACTTAAATCATCTCCAGCTTCCATCAGTGATGATGGTTCAGTTTCATTTACTCTGCTTCATTTGTTCTGTTTGATTCTTCCAGTATATTTTGATGTTCTTCCATGTTTTTGTGCTTTGAGTAAAATGTTGAACTGAACTTTAACAGTCTCTGCTGATCTGAGGTCTGAGTTCTTCTTCCTCTTATGATGTGTCACTGAGCTGAGAAACAGGAGGCGACACCAGAGAAGAAGAAGAAGTGAAGTAGAAAGAGAAGTGGAGAGACTCGGGCACAGTCATTAGGAGAATCTGGAGCATTACGTCATGTTAGCAGACCCCCGCCTCCCTCCATCACCTCTGTACAGCATCAGAACTCTGATTGGTCCGTCACCCAGTTGTCTATAAATCCCATTGGCTGATCCCCAGTCAGCTGCTGCGGACCTGACAGAGGACAGGAGAGAGAGGGAGGGATGCTTCAGATAAAAGCGGCAGCGGCAGGACCCAGTCCGCCCTCATCCGGATCAACAAAACCCGAATAAACCGGAGAAGCTCCAGCTCCTACCGGACTCTACCCGTTTCTGCCGGACTCTACCGGACTCTACCGGACTGTGGACCCGCTGCGGCTCGTAGCAGGAGCAGCTGCAGGCGGAGGATCAAGGTGAGGACATGGGCGTCTGGTCGGTACAGCGGGATTATGATCTTAAACCCGGTCGCTCGGTCGCTGTGAGCCGGTTCAGTGCTGCTGTGAGGGTCCGGGATCATAGTGAGGGTCTTAGACATGGGTCCGGAACTAGAGAGAGATAAACCCTGTCCCAGGAGGAGTCGAGGTCTGTGAAGTGACAGTGAAGACGTTTATCTGTGTGAAGTGTTGACGTCATGAAGGTGAACAGACCCTGACACCACACCTTAGACCTGAACCAGGAAAAACATGTGAACCCGTTAGTTGTGGACGGAGCAGGTGTTTCAGCCACACACACACACACACACACACACACACACACACACACACACACACACACACACACAACACAACACAGGCTCAACTCTACAAACAACAACAACGACACTAATAATAATACTGAAGAATCCTTCAACAGCAGCTGAATTAAAGGGACAGTTCAACATTTCTTTCTTTTGTGTTCAGAGTCAGGATGATGTTAGTTTATCTAGTTGGAAACTTAGCTTAGCATAAAGACTTGAATCAGGTGGAAACCATTAGCCTCTTCACAGGTAACAGATCCACTGAGCAGCAGCTCTGAAGCTTCACATCAACAGAAAGGTGAAAACATCTGCACTCAAAGTCCCCTTACTGTAGTTTTCAATCGGTGATTGGTGTTTCCTCTCCTTTCCCTTTTTACTCACCATGTTCGTCTTCTCTCCTCATTTCCTCTCCTCTCATTATTTCCTCTCCTCTTGTCTATTCTCCTGTCCTCTCTCCTCTCCTTGTCTCCTCTCCTCTCCTTGTCTCCTCTCCTTGTTTCTTCTCCTCTTGTCTCCTCTCCTGTCCTCACTCCTCTCCTTGTCTCTTCTCCTCTCTCCTCTCCTTCTCTCCTCTCCTTACTTCTCCTCTCCTCCTCTCTTCTCCTTGTTTCCTCTCCTCTCTCCTCTCCTCTCCTCGTCTCCTCTCCTCAGGCTGATGAGGATGGAGAGAAGTGGGATGAGTTGAGTTGTTGTTGCGTAATGATTCTTCTGAAACTCCTCCATGAAAGTAGGTCAGAGTCTCTCCACTTGAGTCGAGTTTCACATTCAGGAGGTTTCCACAGTAACTGCTGTTTTATATAATCACTGCTCTGCTGCTTTCTTCACCTCTTCAACTCTCCATTAACCTCCTCCTCTCCTCTCAGTTACCCCCCCACCCCCCCCACCCCAACCCCCTCAGTTAACCCCTTCCACTCCTCTCAGGGCTCCAGGTTCATTTGATTTGTCTCAGTCTTGTCTCTCATGTGAGACTAAAATGCTGAAGTCATCACAGACTGTGAGCTTGTCCCCGTCAGGACGAGTCCTTTAAGTCAGATGGTTCAGAGACGTGTCTCCACCTCTCTGTGGGCTGCCTCAGTCAAACAGCAGCCGAACATGTTCACTGTGGAAACAAGTGGCTCACGGGAAACCAGAGGTGGGACAGGAGGGAGAGCCCTCACCCTCTGTGGATGTTTTCAGTTTCTTTGTATATTCAGACGTGGTGTGTTGATTCTGTGCTGTCACATGACACACACAGCACACACTGTACGTTACACTTGATTAACTGACACTATCTGCACCTGTAATAATTTGATCCAGTCTGGATTCCTCCTAATGGACTAATCCTGGGACCAGGACCTGGTCTAGAATCAGTCGTGTAGCTGTGGACCCTCAGGTGTGGGACAGGATACGTCTCGTTTTGTGAGCAGAACAGCGGGAGTCTGCATCAGCTTCATTCAGGACCATGTCACAGTCCAGCCCTGTCAATCAGGTGAGCAGTGTCAGGTGAACAAAACTTTGATTTGTCCTGACGATGTTCACCTGTTACAGCTCACCTGACGCACACAGCAGGTGTGACTGTTACAGACCGAGTGAGTTCACCTTCAGCCGAGGTTTACTGTGAGAGCAGTGATGTTTTATTGTTTCATAAAACTGAACAGAACATGTCGGCTGGACTCTCAGGTGTCGTCTTAGTTTTAAACCTCACATCTGAGTTTGTTGATATTTAGTTTCTGTTGTTCAGCAGTAAAATTTAGATTAGCTGTCAGATCATCGATCGATCAGCTGATTAATCAGACAACTGTACCTCAAACCCAACGTGAAGCCGCGAACGATCTGGAGGAAAATCATCCTGAAAATTAGCAACGAAGAGTTCAAGGTCGTCACTGGTTTAATCTGTCAGATTAAGACAATCATTAGTTCATGTGTCCAGTCGTCTGTCCTTCAGACTCCTTCCTTAAACACTTTAAACTTTACAGTTTTTGATCGTCGTCAGTAAATTCTTTTCACTGTAGTTTAGTTGATGAAACTAAAACTGAGCATTGTGTCTGTGATTCACTGTTTGTGCGCTGAAGTGCAGTTTGTCCACTTACCACAAACCATCAGATGATTCAACTCAGACAAATGTAAACTGTTGTGACTGCAGTCGTCAGCAGTTTGTCTTATTTTGAAATCTTTATCATCTCATTCTGGAAACAAACAGATGTGAAGTTGCTTCCTGTCGGTGTGTTGTTGTTCTGACTGCAGACTCTGAGCTTGTTAGCAGTGTGGGCTGGTTCGTTCTATATTTATGTCCCTTCCCACCTCTGTTTGTGTGTCTGTGTGTGTGTGTGTGTGTGTGTGTGTGTGTGTGTGTGTGTGTGTGTGTGTCTGAATGACCGCTCAGAGTTAATTAACCAGCATCTCCTTCTCTCCTCCAATCACATCCTCTGCAGCAGGACACTTAACAAGGCGCTCGCAGCTCGTTAAATTATTAATATCACCTCATCAATATTCCATCTGTTCAGCAGGAGGAGGGGGGAGGAGATGTGTTCAGATGTTGGAACAGAGAGATGAACCCTCCTTTAGTCTATCGTTAACAAGAAGGAGGAGGATCAGAGGTTTCAACAATCTGTCTCACTGTGCTGTGTTCAGGGTCCACCTGGGAAACTAGATACTCCTGCTGGGACAAACATGAATATAAAATAAAATCTGAAACAATCTCAAACAGTCTCTGCTCTGTCCACCTGCCTCTGTTTCTCCCATCAGAGTCTGTGGATCAAATATTTGATGTGTAAACAGCTCCGTGAAATCTGACGGAGAAGGTCTGAGACTCACTTAATCCAGATGTTGAAAAGGTGTGAATGCCTCTCTGTGAGACACATCTGTAATGTGTGGAACTGTGTCGGTGTGAGGAAACGTGTGTGTGTGCAGCAGGTTTACCTCTCAGGTGACCTCTACAGACTAAACCTGAGGACACAGCTGTGAGGTTTCAGTGGTCATGTGACAGCACAGGTTTAAAATGCAGCTCAGCCAATGAACGAGAGCCCCCCTCCCCCACCCCCCGCTGTTATAAACAAATGAATAAAACAGTTGCTGTGTCTCAATCCAGACTCTGCACTGATTCTCAGCAGGTTTTAGTCTGATTTGTGTTCACACTGGAGAATAAAGGTTATTCACAGCAGGATTCAGTGTTCGGACTAAATACACCAGAGCACAAAGGAAATGAAGAGGCTGCTCATCATTAACATAAACTGTGGTGGTGAAACAACTGAAGAAAAACAAACAAACAAAAACTGTTCTCCATCTTACGAAAAGCATCTGGTGTCACTGTGAAGTTTGATGTCACATATTTTAATTTCCTGTTTGTCTAGTGTAGAAATACTGTGTAAGAAGTAAAAATTCAGCATTCAGAGTCTTATTGAAGTATAAAAGTATCAACATCAAAGTATATTTAAAGTACCAGAAGTAAAAGTACTCATTATGCAGAATGATAATATATCCCTTTACTGGATTGTATTAGTTGGCAAATTAATGTGTTCATCACTTTCATTTTGCAGCTGGTTCAGGTGGGACTGGTTTTAATAACTTTATATACTGCTACTGGTAAAGTACTTGAGTAAATGTGCTTAGATACTTCCCTCCACTGAGTACTTTCATATTTTAAACTGATGTTTCATATACAGAGCAGACTGTATACAGTTAGTGTGTAGTGTGGATGTGGGACACAGTGGGTGGACCAATCACAGAGCTGCTCAGAGGTTAGTCCCACCCCCTTTGTCCTCCTGTGTCACTTCCTGGCTGGTTGCCATGGCACCAGAGGCAAGGTGCCCCTTTTTCCTATCCCACTGAGTGTATGTGGAAGTCCTTAACAACAACAACAACAACAATAACAACAACAACAACAACAACAACAGCAACAACAGGACTAGTTCCATTTAAGATTGTGTGTGTGTGTGTGTGTGCGCGTGTGTGTGTAATTTTATTATTCATGTTGTGGGGACGTAAATCTGTGCACACACATTGTGGGGACAATGAGCCAGTCCCCATAATGTCATTGAATTTTAGTATGAAGACTTGATTTAAAGTTTTCCTCTTGAGTGATGGAAACGTGTGTGTGTGTGTGTGTGTGTGTGTGTATGGGCAGAGTAGAAGTAAATGACAAATATAATCAAATCATAGGCTCTCTCTCTCTCTCTCTCTCTCTCTCTCTCTCTCTCTCTCTCTCTCTCTCAGCCAGCCAACAACAAATCTCTTGTTTGTTTCTGAAACACATGCACACACTCACTTCAGAGGACATTATACTGACTTACGTTGATATCCTAGAGACTTAAACCAACCTTCACCCTTAACTGTGTGTGATGGATCTGATGTTTGTCCCACAAGTATTTTTTCCCTCTGTAAATTCTCACGTATCAGACTTTTATCATGTTTCTAGAAAACATCTGTAGCACTGATCGATCAAAGAACAATCAACAGTGTGAACACAGAAGTCACCAGCTGTAACAGGAACTGTCAGTAACTGAGGTTTAAAGGGCCAAGTGATGATGATGATGTTGATGATGATGTTGATGATGTCAAACTTTGTAACTGTAAATTTACTTTTTTCAGTTTATTTATTTCAGTATTGTTCCTGGAATCAGCTTCAGGAATCCTTTAAACTAGACTAGACTTGTTCTGGTTTTGTATTTGCACTTCTGTGAACGATGACTGTTAGCTGTTGTTTCCCTGAATAAAAAAACAAAAAAAAAAAACAAATTTAACTCTGTCCTCTTCTGTGTTTCCATCCAGCTGTAGATGAGACTCACCTCCCACTGACCATCTGGAGGAAGTTCATCATTTAGCCAGCACTTCCTCCAGCCCAGTGCACCATGGGATCTGCAGTCTTCTTCGTGCTCCTCCTCTTCCTTGTGACATCATCAGTGTGTGCTGGGCTGGGCGTGGCCAGCCAAGGTAAAGAACCGTGATGATCTGCACATAAAGAAAAGTTTAAATCATCTGTTTTTAAACAGAAGTTTGGTGTGTGTTGTGTCCTGTAGGTGGCGCTGTGCTGTGCCCTCTGCAGTGTGTGTGTGAGACGCGGCCATGGTACACGCCACAGTCTGTGTATCACCAGGCCAAGACAGTGGACTGTAATGAACTCCATCTGCAGAGAGTACCAGCCAACATCTCATCTGACACACAGGTAACACTGACATCACACAGGTAACACTGACATCGCACAGGTAACAGTGACAACGCACAGGTAACAGTCACATCGCACAGGTAACAGTCACATCGCACAGGTAACACTGACATCGCACAGGTAACACTGACAACACACAGGTAACACTGACATCACACAGGTAACAGTCACATCGTACAGGTAACACTATGTTATGATTGTGTTGTGAACATGTTATGATTATGTTGTGTTGATGTATTGTTGTGTTGTTGTTGTTGTTGTTGTTGTTGTGTTGATGTGTTGTTGTTGTGTTGATGGGTTGTTGTTGTGTTGATGTGTTGTTGTTGTGTTGATGTGTTGATGTGTTGTTGTGTTGATGTGTTGATGTGTTGTTGTGTTGCAGGTGCTGCTGCTGCAAAGTAACAACATCTCATCCATCACTACTGAACTACAGAGCCTGACCAACCTGACAGAGCTGGACCTGTCACAGAATCACTTCACCCAGGTAACACACACACACACACACACACAGTTTGGGCTCAGTTTGTCTGAAGGTAAAAAGAAGCTTGTTTATTGGACAGTTTAACCACACTAAATAAACATTAATACGTAAAACATGTATCTCCAAGAGAGCAGACAGGGGCAGAGTGCTGTGTGATGTTAGAGTTAGTTTTATTATAAAGATATTAGAGTGAAGACAAGTGTATCTGTTGATACTCACTCACACATCACAGCTAAAAACTGAAAACTATTAGTGGACGTTTTCACTCGTGTCAGACAGAGATGGTTGAGGCCTCAGTGTCTGGGTCGACTCCAGGGCTCGTTCAGGTGTCGCTGGACGGACAGACGGACGTCAGTGTTTCTCATTTTCTCTCAGTTCACTTCTGATTCTTTTCACTTCTGTTTTCAGAGGCTGTTTCTTCACTCACTGTTGCATTTCACAGAAATACAAACACACATTCTTTCTCACAAACACACACACACACACACACACACACACACACACACACACACACACACACACACACACACACATACACACACACACACACACACACACACACTGGTTCCTCTTCAGACATTAGTGTTGAAGATGAAGTGTTTTCTCTCTCTCTCTGTCCAGGTGAGCTCTATGGGTCTGTCCTCTCTGGGCCGGCTAGTCACTCTGTACCTGGAGGAGAATCACATCGAGGAGTTGGAGGACTTCAGTCTGAGGAACCTGTCCAGTCTGGAGGAGCTCTACATCAACCACAACCACATCTCCTCCATCGGACCAAAAGCCTTCGCCGGCCTCACCAACCTGCTGCGGTAACTACACTTGTTCTTGTTCTTGTTTTTCTTCTTCTTCTTCTTCATCTTCTATTCTCTTCTTCTTCTTCTTCTTCTTCTTCTTCTTCTTCTTCTTCTTCTTCTTCTTCTTCGTATTTGTCTTCTCCACTTCGACCATTAGAACCACCTAAATGACACTTAGGATACCTTTGGTGATCGCAAAAACCACCTAGGGGAGTCTCAGAATCACCTAACCACCAGTAAGTAGAACCAGCTAAAAGACCATTAAAACCACCAAAACATCCACCTCTGACACCAAGGACCATTAAAACCATCTGAGGGACTTCTAGACTTCTAGAACCTTTCTAAAGGGCCACTAGAACCTCTCAAAGGACCACCAGACCACCTAAATGATCTATAGAACCTCATTAAGAACCTATTTAACCTCTTAAAGGACCACTAGACTTTTCTCAGTGACCACAAGCACTACCTCAAGGACCACTAGAAGCCCCTCAGTGACCAGGACAACCACCTAATTGACCCCTAGAACCTTATCATACATTCTTTATGTTTTTACCTCATTATTTAGGGTTTTCTTTCAATTTAAAACCATCTGTATGTCAAAATAAAAGCCTTTAAAACCTAATGTGAGCACAATTTCACAAATTAAATAAGATAATGGAGTGGAATTTATGATCATAAGATTAAATTTTTCTTCTCAGGATTGAGCAGGTCTTTACTCTGTCTGGACTAGTTTTCTGCCATGTGCTCGGTCCTGTAGGCTCCACCTGAACTCCAACCGGCTGGTGGCGATCGACAGCCGCTGGTTCGAGTCCCTGCCATCCCTGGAGATCCTGATGATCGGGGAGAACCCCATCCTGGGTCTGGAGGAGAAGAACTTCCTGCCCCTATCCCGCCTGCACAGCCTGGTGCTGGCTGGAATGGGACTGGCCTCCGTCCCCTCCGCTGCCTTCCTGGGCCTGGACTACCTGGAGAGCCTCTCCTTCTACGACAACCGGCTCAGGTGGGTCTGACTATGGTTGCTGGTTCAATTTCCTTCAGACTGTAGTGTTCTCTCACTGTTCTGGGTGACACTGATGACCTGTTGTTCTCCTGCAGGTCTGTGCCCCGGGATGCCCTGAGTGTACTCCCTAACCTGAAGTTCCTGGACCTGAACAGGAACCCAATCAGCAGAGTCCAGCAGGGAGATTTCCAGAACCTCCAGCACTTGGAGGAGCTCAGGTCAGTCTGAGAATACAACTGCAAAAAGTACAGTGCAGTAAGAACGTCTGGATCAAGATTTTGTTTTGTCCCTGTCGTCCCGGGTCTGATCTGATACTGGACTGAAGGAGGAACTCCAGCTGTATGGTGTTGCTGTTTCCTGCTTCTTTCTCTCTGATGTTGTGTTATTTGGTGTATTGTGTGCAGTTTCTTCAGGTTGTGTGTTAGAATAAATGTTGACTGTGTTCAGCCTGAACAACATGGAGGAGCTGCTGATGGTGGAGCGAGCTGCTTTCCAGAACCTTCCTGAAATTGCCAAACTGGAGATCTGCAACAACCCACGGCTGTCGTACATTGACCCTCAGGCCTTCAGGTGAACATGGTCACATGATCAAACTTCCTCTGAACAGTTTTATTGTCATGTCACAATGTTTCCTGCAAATGTCACACATGAACAAATCTGTTTTCTTTTCACCTGCGTCCCTCTATTTCTTCTCCTTCTCATCCCTCCTCATTCACCTTTTCATTTTCCCTCTCCACCCGTCTCCTCTCCTTCTTTCCTCTCCTCTCCTCTCCTTCTCAGTAACCTGTCCTCCCTCCGGACTCTCCTTCTCCATAATAACCAGCTTAGCCTCCTCTCTGGAGACCTCCTCTCCTCCCTCCCATCCCTGGAGGAGGTGTCTCTTCACTCAAACCCCCTGCGATGTGACTGTCTCTCCTCCTGGGGGCCTCACCTCGGAAACCAATCACATCTCAAGCTTCTGGAGTCATCTGTCACTCTCTGCTCCTCCCCACCTCACCTCATTGGTCGGGAGCTGCAGGAGGTGGTGGCGGTCGGGTGGGGTGCAGCCGGCGGGGGCGGGGCCAACAGCTGCCTGCCTCACATCTCACCTCACTCCTTCCCAACGGCCATGAATGTCAGCGCTGGGCAGCCAATTACACTAGAGTGCTGGGCAGATGCTGACCCCGCCCCCCAGTTCTACTGGGTAACGCCCACTGGAGACAAGGTGGGTTGGGTCATGAGGGTACACACATATATATGTGTATGTGTGTGTGTGTGTGTGTATGAGGGGGGGGTCTATTTAATTAATAATTAATGAATATTATAACCATCTCTCTTCCTCAACTGGTCAGGTGAGCTCTGAGGCAGTGGCTGCACCAATCATATCAGAGGTGGGGCGTGGCCTGACCAGGAAGAAGAAGAAGCATCGTGTGTCGGACCCCGGAGCGTTGGTGATCGAACACGCCGAGCCGTCAGACACAGGTCAGTCTGTTTCACATCTAGCTCCAAGACCAAGTCCAAGTCTGAAGTCTCTCTCAACTCAGTTTTCATCAAAGTCACACATCAATTCAGAAGCCCTGAGAGGCAAGGAGAGAAGTGTTGTTGTAATACTCATTTTGGCCACAAAAGGCTGAAGTCCACCACTACCTCAGTCTAAACAGCACTTAAAGGATTCATGTTTTCTTCCAGGTGATTTTAATTTCTCCATGCACACTAAACACAAGGTGCACATAATCTGTGTTAGGAAGTTACGTAACATTACTGACATGTCTTTCTTTTGGCTAGAAATGTATATTAATCAGTGAAGTCTTTCTGGCAGTCAGGTGAGGTAAAATGATCCTCAAAAAAAATTTAAAAAAGATGTACATCAAGGTATCTGATGGAAATTTACTCTAATTCATATTTTGGTTGGCTGGAATTTTCAAAACACTGAAAAAAAGTTTACTCAGAACTTGTGCATCATTTAACTTAAAACAACCTCTTTGTTTCTGTCTGTCCCCCTCTCTCTCTCTCTCTCTCTCTCTCTCTCTCTTTCTCTCTTTCTCTCAGGTGTGTATACCTGTGTAGCGTGGAACATGGAGGGAGCAGACACGAAGAGCGTCTCAGTGTTTGTGGACTCTCTGGGGTTTGTGGGCTGGTGGTTGGACGGGGAGACCCGGTGGGATGGAGAGTCCAGCAGAGAGCAGCCCTGGCTGGGGAGCTCGTCCAGCCCTGAAGCCTCTCTTGTGGTTCTGGCTAAGGTACAGAACCTGCTGTGTCTTTAATACTCATAATTTAATATATATAATCTATACTTTGTGTTTTTCCTCTTTTGTTAAGGACATAGTTTTGTATCTTTTTATAGGCAGTTTCCTATAAAACACATTTTTTATTATTACTATCATCAAACTGTTACCTGCCTCCTGTTTCTTGTGCAGGTGGTTCACGCCCAGTCGGTGGTGTTGGAGTGGAAGTTGTATCCCAGTGGAGGAACTTCGTCTGTGGGTCAGAGCCAGCAGGACACCCCCCTCCCTCTGCCCCGGTGGACCAGCGCCACTGTGCACATAGACAACCCTCAGATCAGCTACACTGCCAAAGTGAGCAAATCCACCTGTCTAGACCTGTCTGCATGTAAACTAATGCTCTGTCTGCACTCGGTTAGTTCACTGTCTGTAATAACAGTGGGACAGTCCAGTGTCTGTGTTGAGTTCACTGCTTCACTGCTACCTATTTCTGCTGAAAACAGGTTTAACTTAGGTTTAAGTTAACTTAAGTCGGACTCACTTTAACTTGAACTCATCTCTACCGTCCTTGTTCCTGTCTGTCCAGGTCCCAGTCGATGTTCAGGAGTATAATCTGACTCACCTACTTCCTGCCACAGAGTACCACGTCTGCCTCACCGTCTCCTCCTCGCCTCCCTCCGTCACCCCTCCCTCGTCCCCTCCCAGCTCCTCCCCCACCCCCACCTCTTCTTCCTCCTTCCCTTACTCCCCCTCCGCTCCTGTCCACACCTCCTGCCTGAACATCACCACTAAGGAGGCGGGCTTCTCTGTGGAGCTGGTGGCATCACGTCGCAGCAGTGTGGCGTTGGCGGCCGTTATGGGCTCCATGTTTGCTCTGTCCATCATGGCTCTGCTGGTGGTCTACATGGGCCGTCGTGTGCAGCAGCACAAATCCTGCGGCCACTCACTGAAGAAGTACATGCAACACGCCACGTCCATCCCACTGAATGAGCTGTACCCACCACTCATCACACTGTGGGAGAGTGAGGCCGAGAAAGACAAGGACGACAAAGAGGAGGAAGAGGAGAGGGTGGGAGGAGAGAGGGGGGAGGAGGCAGGGGGGAGTCAAATTGACACGACAAAGACGTACATGTGGTAGCTGGAGGAGGGGGGGAAGAAAGAGACATTCACGGGGGGGGGGGGGGGGGGGGGGTTATGGAGGGCGAAGGAAGGAGAGAAGAGAACCTGGATGGATGAAATCAAAGAGAGAAGCACCTGACAGTAAACAGAAGGGTAAAAACAAACACATGTGACTGCTGAGGAAGAGAGGGAGGAAAAAACTGATGAACAGATAAAAACATGTCACCCATTAGATCCTTAAAGGACCATTCTGGTGTTTCTGTCTTATTTTAGCCCATTAATCACAAATCACATTCCTGATCATCATCATCATCATCATCATCATCATCATCATCATCATCATCATCATCATCATCTTCCTCCTGTCAGCTGAACATCGTTTTCACTGCAGTTCTGTGGAAACTGATTAACATCAGGTCATCAGTCAGAGATTCGATTCTTCTGAGTGGATTCATGGAGGTTTGTTTCAGTTTTATATGTCACTGTTACTGCTGCAGCTGTTGATCCTGTTGATCAGCTGTTAAACTACAAACACTGACTTCCTGTTGTTATTAGATCACCTGTACGCACCTGTCCCTCTCACCTCCCTCCTCACAGTGTAATCCTCTGGATTACAGACATACTCTCTGCAGGTAGAAACCAGACTAAAGTGTCCAAATCTATTTTTACTGCACAGATAAAGGAACATGAGTCCAGTCTGGAAACACTGATGGAGACACTGTTTCTGACCAGTCTATCACAGGACTGACAGTCAGAGACAAACAGTCATTCAGACTCACATTCACACCTGCGAACAATTTAGAGTCAGCAGTTAACCTACATGCGTTCACACACAGAAGCAGTGGAGAGACAGTGAGCTGCTAGCTGCCCTGCAAACTGGTAAAACAGATCTGTCAGGTTTCATCCCAGAGTTGGTGCTCCTATGAAAGTGTCTCCGTGTGAGATCCTTCAATCGGTGATTGTGTGTTTTTGAAACTTATCTCGGGGCTGTAACTCACTCTTCCATTCCCATGCGCAGTGTAGCTGCTGTGTTTCTGGTTTAACAGCCTTTTTTTTACAGTGTCTGTGCTCCAAAAGATGTGACAGCAGGAAGAGAGGTGAAAATTAGCAGGTTCACTCAGGTGTTGTGTTTACATCACTGCCAAGCTGATAAATACCCGTGTCTACTGCAGAGTCATTTGACACGGGTGTGAATGTTGATTGTACCCTTTTCCATTGCCAGCAAAAGCTCAATGTTGGCGAGTCTCAGCAGGTTTTTTGACCAGTGGAAAAGGGGCTTGATGAGAAGATTAAATTAGATCATAAATTGGTCTTTAAGAGATTTAATGGGCTGAAATATAAAAAACTCCAGAGTGTTTCTGTTTCACTGTACTTCCATCAAACTCGGTTTCTCAGAGGTTTTTACTCTGAGGAAGTAGCTGGACGTCCTGAGGAGAGACCACACAGAAATGGACATGGACAGAGGAGGATAATGGATCTGTTTTCCTTCCCTCTTGTTGTCCCTCTGTTTTTCAAACTGAGGGTCGGGGGCCTGTGATTGGGCCGTCAGTGAGTTTGAACTGGACGATTCTTTCTCCAGCAGAACTCTTCTCAGAGCACGTGAACTGTTGTCCTTTGAGTCCAGATGTTTTCTGAGTCCAGATGTTTTCTATTTTCAGATCTCATCTCCTTCCTCTCTTCCTGATTTCCTTCCTTCCTTCCTTTCTTCTCTCCTCTTCCCTCTCCTCCCTGTCAAGCACACTGACAGTAGCTGTACTGTTGGAGAAATCTGATTAATGTAATTTAGTTCATCTGATGAACCTGAATGCAGCACTGACACTCAGCACAGGTAAACTTCACTTTAACTCTTTCACAGTTGCACTTAAAGGTCCCATATTCACCTGAACTTCACACCTTTCATTTGTTTTATTACTGTTGGTCTGCAGTCTGCAGATCTTCAATCCGCTGGTCTTCAGTCTGAATACGGGACCTTTAATCCTCCTGTCTCCATCAGCATGAATGCATCACTATGATTATTATATTTTATATTTGTTGTGCATCAGGAGTGTACACAGTCGTGAGGACGGGTTCAGGTCAAAGCTCAGTCACTGACACCACTGTTACATCCATGTGAAGAAGTCCGACTTTATCGACAGCCTATGTACAGACGCTGACAGTCACCATGTTGTGCTTCAGTTTGTTGGACTCACTGTGACACTGAGTTCTTCTGGGTCTGTCAGTGACATGGAGGTGGGAGGTGGAAGGTGGAGGTGGCTGGAGGAGGGTGGTGCTGCATGCCTTTGCACTCATATTTAGGACTGTTTGTATAAAAACCATGTCTGTGTGACGACCTGCAAACTGCTTCAGTGATGATGAAGTGAGTCTGTTCACCCTGAGACACAAGAAACACCTCCACTCAGTATCATGCACAACAAACAACAACATTTATATTAAGTGAACAAGTTATGATAAAATCTGTTATTAAGTTCAGTTCTAGTGTCTTTAGGGAGAACATATATAAAATCAATAACGACAACAACAGTTACCTACAGCCAAAGTTTAGTTTTTGTTGGTGAGTGGAGTGTGTGTCTGTGGACCCACAGCAACTGGACAGAAACAGTCACTTCCACCATCTAAAGACTCAATAAACATCAACCTGGACTCTGAGTGAAACCTCTGAAACTGATTCATCCTCAGCAGTTTGCAGGTTTGTCGCTCAGACTTTCAGCCAAATATTCCCTCAGCTGTCTGTCAACCAAAACACTTCAGGAACACCCAAAGGAAGCTCTGGGCATTTTACACAACATGTACTGTACATACAAACATCATTTACTGTTAAACAGATGTTTCTCTGCTCCTCTGGTCACAGTTTTCTAATACACTGACCTGAAACTGTTGTTTCTGAAGATGTCGCTGTGAACTCTGGGAAATTAAAACTGAGAAAATAATGTTGAGGTGAACTGATAATGATAATGATCATCCATCAGTCCAACTTCCTAAATCAGCTACAAGATGAATTGACTTTTTGTTTTTGCATGTGTGACTTTTAGTTTGTTTTCAGCTGAGAGGTTCAAAAACACAAAACTCTGATTCTGATTCTGAGTCAGAGACTGACTTCTTTTCTCTGACCTCTAACCTTTAAGCTTCATCCTCGACCTCAGAAACACAAAGTTCATTCACTTGGTTTTTCTGAAGCTTTCGATAACAGATGTTTTTCAAAGATGATCATTGATTGATTGATTGATTGATTGATTGATTGATTTCCCTGAGTTGTTAAAACAGTGATGATCAGTCTGAAACCTCAGAGCAACGGCGCCCTCTAGTGTCAATCACAGTCAACAATGGCACAACACACTTCACGTCATTAAATTAAACTTGACAGTAATATGCAGGGTATTTTGTACAAAGTGTATCGCTCTATATTTGAAGAAACTATTGCTTATATTATTATTATTATTATCATTATTATTATTATTACTCAACACTGAGCACCAACTGTAACTAAAGATGTGTGTGTGTATGTGTGTGTGGGAGGGGAAGATAATATAAATACACACTTTGTCACTCCACAGCCTGGTGTCTGATTAATAACTCATCTATATAATATATGTGGTGATATGGGAGGATGTAATTTTCATTCATACAGATGATGTCTGTCTCTGTCCCTTAACAATGTCAATGAATCAATATAAACTTCAGATGATGGACTGCAGACAGACTGGACACTGAATCACTAACAGAAAAACACTAAAACTTGTGTATTTTACCCATGTCCCTGTTTTGTTGTTGTTGTTTTTTTATTTGCTTAAACAAACAATAAGACAAAGGTTAGACAGCACAACAGTTTGTTTTGATGTCAATAATCAGCCTGACGATGTGGCGTTCAGATGGACTGAACATCTAAACCTCAAAGCTTCTGTTAGAACAGTAAATGAAGCTGAAGTGACGTCTGCAGCTGAGCATGAAGTGACTCCTTGATATGAAGGTACAGGCTGATGAAAACTTGCAGGCTGCTGCTCTGCAACAGCAAAACACGGAAAATATAAAAGAACAGTAAAGTAACAAACTGGTTGAGGGGCGGAGCCAGTGATTATAAACATTCAGGGATTTCAGTCTATATTCAGGGGACATGCTCCCTCTTTAATTTTTTCCCCCATTCACAGCAGCTACATGCACTATTGACTGTATCATCTGGAGAAAACATGTTGCCTTGGAAAAAAAATCATCCAGAACCTGCATCAGATTTTGAATCTAATGGTTTTAAAGCAGGGGTGTCCAAAGTTTTTTTAGTGAGGGCCAAATACAGAAAAATAAACAAAGGGCCGGGCCACACACTAGAGGTGACATATTGGGACATGAATACTGTGTGTATTTCTAATTCACCTATAATGTGAAGAAGATTGCACTCAGTGGGAGCAGTGATGCTGTCCTTTGGATTGAAGGATGGCTGACATGTCAGGAGAAAGTTTGGTGGTTGAGACACGAAGGACTTCACAGAGATGGCTATCAGTCATTCTGGTTCTCAGTCTGCTTTTGTTCTGATTTAACAGAGAAAATGTTTGTTCACATATGTATGTTGAGCCGAACAGGCTCATCATTCTTTTTGCGTGGCGTCTCATCAGAGGAAACTTGGCATTATCCAAACTCTGATAGAAGTCAGGGAGGGAGAGAAGCTGATGTTGACTCTTCAGAGAATCATCACATTGCATTTCAATCAGTTCTAACTGCAGACTCTCTTCCACTTCTTCTGCATCCACCAGGAAGGGGGTCAAGAACAGCTTGATTTGTTTTTCAATGACAGAAAAATCTTGGAAACGCTGGTTGAATTCTGTCACGGGAGATGCAATCACAGACACATATTTCTCCTTTTTAGCAGAAAGGTCGGCCTTTTGAAAAGCAGACTTGATTTCAGACAGCGCAGGGAAGTGTGCAGCATTAAAGCTTCGTAGTTGTGTCTCAAACAGGCGGAGCTTTACACAGAAGGCTTTCATGTGCGCATACAGGTGTGGCACCAGCTGTTCCTTGCCTTGTAGGCTCTTGTTCAGTGTATTCAGATGATGAGTAAGATCAACTAAAAATGCCAGGTCTGCCAGCCACAGAGGATCACTCAGTTCATGAAGAGGTCGGCCCTTCTCTTTCAAAAACTGGTCGATTTCTGACCTCAGCGAATAAAACCGCTGCAGCACAGAGCCGCGGCTGAGCCAGCGCACATCAGAGTGGTAGAGTACATCCCCGTATTCAGCATCCACATCAGATAGGAAAGCTTGAAATTCTCTGTGGTACAGTCCTCTACCTCAAATTATGTTGACAGTTTTTACAACAGTGTTCATCACATCGCCCAGCTGGACAGTCTTGGCACACAGTGCTTCTTGGTGGATTATACAGTGCATCCTAACAGCCTCACCTCTGCTCTCTTTTACCTTGGCGCACACCATCGATGCCATTCCTTTGCGCTCGCCCGTCATGGCCGGAGCTCCATCCGTTGTTACTCCACAGAGCTTGTCCCATTTAAGCTCCATCTTTTCAACTGCCTCTGACACAGCTTCAAAAATATCTCTACCCGTCGTTGTGCCTTTTAGGCTCATCATATCAAGCAGCTCCTCTGTACAGCAAAAATTATCATCTAGTCCCCGCAAAAAAATTAACAGCTGCGCGGTGTCTGTGGCATCTGTGCTCTCATCGCATGCTATCGAGTAAAAATCAAAAGCACAAGCTTTGTCTCTCAGCTGAAGTTTCAAGTTAGCTGACAAGTCCTCGATTCTCCGCACCACTGTATTTCTGGATAAGCTCACGTTGTTGAAATCCTGCACTTTTTCCGGGCACATTATTTCTGTGACTTTCATGAGGCACTGTTTTATGAAATCACCGTCTGAGAGCGGTTTGCCGTGCTGGGCAATAAGTTTAGCGACTTCATAGCTTGCTGTTGTGGCGTTTTCCTGTATTTTATTAGCACGAAAAAAAAACTGTTGTTGAGCTTGCAGGCTAGCTGCCATTTACTTGACTTTCTGTATTGTTCGGCACCGGTGTACAATGTGTAGCTCTGATGTTTGGTCTCATAGTGCCGACGGACATTATACTCTTTCATCACAGCAACATCTTCATTGCAAATCAAACAGACACACTTTCCGTTGATTTCTTTGAAGAAATATTCATTTTCCCACCGTGTTTGAAATCTTCTACACTCACTTGCTATTTTGCGTTTCTTCGGTGCCGCCATTTCTGGTGACTCGCGGTAAAAGTTTTTCTTTGCTTAATTTTGTTTAGTGGAGAAGCACCGTTTCC